TAGGTTAAACGTTAGGAAGAAGTTCTTTACTGTAGGGGTGGTGAAACACGGGAACGGGCTGCCCAGAGAGATGGTGGAGGTTCCATCCCTGGAGGCATTCAAGGTCAGGCTGGATGGGGCTCTGAGCAACCAGATCTAGTTAAAGGTGTCCCTGCTCACTGCAGGGGGCTTGGACTAGATGCCCTTTAGAGTCAAACACATTCTATGGTTCTGTGATTCTATATTGATTTTATTTTTTAATGATCTGATATTTTTTGTTAGAAATTCACCATTTTATTCTTTAAGAAAACCAACAAACCCTCATGAAAGAATTCAGCTGTTAAACCTATAACGTAGATTGTCTAGTCTGGAGAAGAGGAGGCTCAGAGGAGACCTCATTGCTCTCTACAGTCACCTGAAAGGAGGCTGTAGCGAGGTGGGGGTTGGTCTCTTCTAAGTAGCAACTGATAAGACAAGAGGAAGTGGCCTCAGGTTGAACCAGGGGAGGTTTAGATTAGATATTAGGAAAAATTTCTTTACTGAAAGAGTGGTGAAGCATTGGAACAGGCTGCCCAGGAAGGTCATGGAGTCACCATCCCAGGAAGTGTTCAAAAGACATGTAGATGTGGCACATCAGGATGTGGTTTAGTGGTTGTGGTAGTGTTGAGTAGATGTTTGGACTAGATGATCTTAGAGGTCTTTTCCAACCTGAATGATTTTATGAAGGACTGACTGAGTTTGTCGTTAGCGTGTTACATTGTGGAGGGAAGGCCAGTGCATCCATCAGCCCTTGGGGTAGTGACTGGAGGTGGTAGCTTGAAAAGCTACTGAAAAGCAATTATTGAAACTGTGTAAGTCTCTAGATCATTGGAGGTTTTTCTTTTTTTCCCAGTAGTTAACTTAGTGCTAAACAGGGACATTGTTCTAATTTTAAACCTTAAAGGCCTTTGCACGTGTGTTCAGTGGGCATGCAGCTTCTTTTTGTTATTCTAGTCTGTCAGGTTTTGCTGTCTTTTCCTACTGCAGGGGGGTTGGACTAAATGGCCTTTAAAGGTCCCTTCCAACCCAACACATTCCATAATTCTGTGACCCAGAGAAGAGCTGACCTGCTGGACTGAGCTGCCAGCAGGCCACAGCATTCCAGCAGCCCCCACCTCCCGAGGCAGATGCCGCCGTTCCAGGAGTCTGCATGGAGTCAATGTGAACCAGTCAGAAACGCTGCTCCACACCTGGAGCTCACCCGCATCAGGCTTGCTGCATCTGAGCAGTTTGGTGGTGACCAGAGCTGGTGGCTGTGATCAGCCAGAGTTAAGTATGCAGATTTCTCTGCTCCCAGGAATCATACTGTGTCCTGCAAGGGCTGCCAGATCGCTGGCAACCACCCAGCTGCTGCTAACTTTTCTCAGAGCTCCCCACCCTCTGTCAGGTGAAAACAGACTGTAGATGTTAGGCTCCTGACTTATGAACCTCATCATTAGTTGTCCTGCCTCTCTGCTGCCTCCCCTCACTCTGGATGGCTGGTTGTGCCTTTGGGGTGCATTTACATTCCCCGTTTCTGTTCCTGCTTGCTGTAGTCTAGACTCGGTGTTCACTGCCTACTTCTGAGCTGCATTGCTGATGATCGTTGCTCTCCTGCTTCTGTAGTCCTAGTTGCAGGACCCAGTCTTACGTTACCTTGTTTCCTGGCTGAAATCAGCTGTTTCTGCCCTTGTTTCAACTGTAGGAGCTTCTTGTTCCAAGTTATGGTTTGCTTTGTGGGCTGCTTGATTTTAAAGCCCTCAGGGTGACTTCTGACTCCCCTTGCCCATTGGATTTGTGGGTCTTTTTTGTACCTTAGCTGGCACTGACTTCTGCTTTTTAATATTATTCCAGCACTACTGCTGCCTCATCTGTACCCAGCACATGCTTTCCAGTCTCAGCTGAGACTCCCTGAAGGGATTCATGAAAATGTGCTGAGAAGAAAGATGCTTCAGGCTGCAGTCACACCTGGCTGCTGACCCTCAGGAGGAGCATATTGCTCCTTGCTGTGTGCCGTGGTGCCCTCTCAGGAGAAAGGGACACCCCCTCAGATCTGCCTGTGGAACAGACCGTTGCTTCCTAACGCTTTCCTGTCCCGCTGATCCGTGTTAAAAATGTCTAGTCTTCAATCTTACCACTAACCTGGGTCACTGTGACAGAATCAGAACCAAAACGCACATAAAATTACAGATTTGAGAGCACTGACCTTAGAAAGGAGTCTGGAAATAAGTAAATGGGGGTAGTAATCTCTTCACTCAGTGTGAGTACTTGTGATGTAAGTTGTGCACTTTTTTTAGGATATAGGTGACTGTAGAATCTACTTGGGATTTGTAATGCCTGATTCTTGCCAGGTTATATCCCTTTGTCATATAACAAGGTGAACAGGGGTGTCCTGCAACCCTCCTCTGACGCATTTTCACCATTGGCTACCGCACTCACTGGGCAGAGGGGAGCTCACTCTTTTGCTTGAGAAGGAATGCAAGCTTAACATCAGCATTTAGGGTGTGTTGCCTTGGAAGCTCTTTCTGTTAGAACCATTCAAGTTTGCAAGGAACAATTAAATATTGATTTTGAGAGATGGGAGAGTCAGCACTGCTCTTTAGTCTTCTGATCCGAGCACTTACACGAAGGGAAAAGAACGCAGATTCCAGTCTTAACTTCACTGAATACTTAATTTAATGTATTTAAATGTTAATTGGGGTCCTGGTGAGTGCCCTGAGCATTAAGCTACAGAAGTGTTGCTCATTCTTGTCTTTCTCCTTAGCCCAATTAATATTTAATTATTTATTGCAAATTAGAACCACCCTACAGGAACGATGGAGGTTCACCTTCCTTGTGGTATTATTCTCTGACCTGCTGATGATTCACGTGAGGTGAGGTACTTGCAGGTTCAAACTTTCCCGTGGAGAATGTCATGGTTTTGAAACAACATCCCCTAAATTGAGGATGAGTGCTCTGATCATTCAGTTGGTAGCTGGGGGAGAGGTACCTTGTGTCACGTATCACCCAGGTCAGTAGATCATCCCTTCTGGATCTGGCCTTGTGGGGGAGAGGTGGACGGATGTGTGGGGAATCCTGCCAGGGCTTAACCACGAGTTAGGGTTGAGGTTGCTTGTCCGTGTCTAGACTCGGCTGTGTAGTACCAGGGCCCTCATCTGTTGCTGGCCTAGGTGGTAGCTGTCTCCAGAAAACTGAAAGTCTGGACTTCAGTTCCTGAATTCCTTTTGTGACTGGGGTTGTAAACAAAACATACTGTCAGGCTTGGTTTTAAATCAAAATCTCTCACTATTTTGTTTGGCTTTTCTTTTTGTTGACGCTACTAGAAAGCCCTGTGCGAATACTCAGACTGCTTACTGCTCTTACCTCCCGGGAACATTGCCATGAGACGAGATGTCCAAGAGGGCCAGGCTCGGTGTTTATGTCGCCTAGGAAGGCACGGAGAGGCTCTGGATATTGCAGAAAAAATGGTACATAATACAATTCTCTCTTTTAGGCTGTTAACAGGAAAATATTGCCAGTAGTTCTTTTGTATGGACCATTTTCTGGAAAAATAATCTTCATGTGTATAATCCTTCAGGATGTTCGGTGCTCAGAGTATTTGTTAAACAGAGGGTAACTGTCGCTACAGATATAATCACTCTTTAGAAATCAGAACACCCTGTACCACAATGAGCTCCCTGTGCAGGGAGGCTGGTAGTCCTGGAAGGGACTAAATATCATGCTCTGCCAGGCAGAATTAATGTAATGTAGTAGGAATTATAAGAAAGGGAATAAATGAGTGCTTAAATCTTTCCGCTATAAAAGTGACAGTACAAAACTCCCTTTTATTTCCATATACTCACTGCCAAAGTGCCACCAAGAAGAGTATCTAACCCCAAATTGAGTTTTTCCCACAAAAGAAAAAGTCCAGAGGCTCTGACATCTGCTAGAATTTTATTGCTGTTGTTTGTTTTATACCAGAGGTACTATACTACAAAGAAGGGCAGCTGTGTGAAACTCTGGTGGCCAATAAACAAATGATGGCATTGAGGGCCTTCTTGCCTTTCAGACTGGAACAAGGCAGCTGGAGGAAATGCTGTCAGCTTGATCGTGCATGATCGGTATCAGGTTGTATCATTTAAAATTAAGAGCACGGTTTTGTAACAATTTTAAAATTACCTTTAGTGATACTTGTGTGTTGTTACTCAGGGAGACATTTTCCTAAGCTTTGAAGGATGATTCTGTCCTACTCCTGGTCTTAATCCGTTATCTTCTGTTTCTAGAGAAATAGCGCTACCAACACAGATCACCTAACGACAGTTCTCAACCTGCAGTTGGCGATTTACCAGGGTCTGGAAAATGCAGAAAAAAAGATCACGTGTCTGCAGCAACTGCTCTGCTTACATCCTTTCAACCCTTGGTACTGGAAGTTACTCGCTGAAGCTTATATGAGCCTTTTACAGAGTTTGTCTCCATTAGTCATTCCAGAAAAAAATCTGAATCGGTCCGAAGAGGTGAATGTAAGTGATAGGAGTTCCAAAACACCGACTGGAAGAGAGATTGATTTGCAGCCTCATGGATCAGATGCCCAGAAGGAAGGCCCTTGGTCCAACCTTGCTACAGAAACAAAGAGGGGGAATGCAGAGACTTGTAGCAGCAGCCAAACTGTAAAAGAATCTCTCTGCGCTTCGGAAGAACCGGGAAGAACACATGAAAGGAATGGTGTAGCATTGGAGTCCTGGGAACAGAACACGTCGAAGAAAGTTAGAATAAAGGCGTGTGCCTCATTTATTAGAGCAAGGTAACTAAAAGTATTCTTAGAATAATGGTAACTTTTCCCAGCTGAGAACAATTTAAAGCATATTTTTACCAGCCATAGTATTTTCAGTTTACGTTTTGAATTTGTGTTAATTTCAGCATTGGCAATGCTAACTTAGAAACACCCTGCTATCACTTCATATTTCAAAAAGCAAAATCCACTAGCATCATAGCTGTGAGCAAACTAAATCTGAATGGAAAGAGTAAACCAGTGTCATGCACTGTTGAGAAGTAAAGCGATTTTCAGTGACCTTGTTATATGAATCTTTTCAGGTAATTGTATGTAAAAGAGCGTGTTCTCCAATAAATGCTCCTGTTAGAGCGTGGCTGTTTCCTGCTTTGGTATTAAAGATGCAGCAGCAGAAGTGCCCCAAAGGGAAGGGGCCAGCCAGTCTTCCTTCTGTGACTGCCACCTGGCTTATTTGCTTGAAGCCTCGTGCTCGAGCGAAAATGTGTTTTATAATAATAACCTCAATCTGCATAATGGATGAGGTTGAAAAATGAACTCTGTGACAGCTGATTGACAGGCCTGCATTAAAACGTTCTTTCCTTTTCCTCCCTCTCTTTGAAAAACTCTTGCACACAACAAAAATCCCCAAAACATTATCTTTCAAAGAGATAGTTAGGAACTGGGTTTGGTGTTAGTCACCGAACCTGTTTAAAGCCTTTTTATGAACTTCCACAAATGTTTACAGTGAACACTTTATAACTGCCCTGTTAGGGCAGGATTTGAGAAACGTGAAAAAAAATGATAGAGTAGCCTTTAACTGTACTCAGACTGACAGATGGCGACTTTAATTGCTACTTGATAGATTTAGTACTGATATCGAATATTAAAGCTACGTTCCTACTAAAATAATTTCTGAGGCAGGCACTTCAGTGTGTACGGTTCAGAACTGAGACAGTTATAGATGTGGGATTTCCTTGCTTGGCTGCACAGTTTTACAAGGTGTTGTGGTGGTTTTTATTTGCAGATACACTTGTTCGGGTCAGCTCTCCTGCCCAGGGCTTATTCATTGAATGGGTTGTCTAATATTTTCAAGTCTCTTGGATTTTAAGTGAGATGTGGATGTTGCATAACCATACGTGCAGGGCAGATTGCACTTGGAAAAGGAATGTTAGGGTTCTGTGTTAAAGCATCATGAGTAATTGACTCTTCTAGTTTTGCCAGGAAAAAAAATTGAGAAATGCTTATGTTTAACTTTTATTCTTTCTTACATTATTCTGATGAAAATTTTGAAACAGAAACACTTTACAAATAAAAAATCCTTTTAATTTTTACTTTAAATTTCCCAGTCAAAACTTTACTGAATTTATAAATGTTCTATTGGCTCAGACTTGTATTTTGATGTTTATAAAGCTCAAGTGAAAACTTTCATCTAAGATCTTAAGTCTTCTCTTCTTAAAAATACACACCTTTTTTATAATACCTGCTTCATTTAACTTTGGTAAGTGTGATTTAAAAATGTGGTGGTGTTCTTTATGCATAAAGCTTGAATTAAACATAGTTTGAGTATTCATATTGCTAAGTCCCGGTGGTTGAATATACTTATATATTTCCTCTGCTGACTTGTTTTACAACCCTTGTGTGAGGAGGAAGCTGCCCCTGCTCTCTGGCTGAGCAGTTGGTGATGGGGTCCTTCCATGACGTGAAGCCATGGTGTGAGCAAAGCGTCCAGCCTTCACCAAATCATGGTGCTGACAATGCCTTGAACATAAAACCGCAGTGAAAGGTTTTAGAAATTATTCCAGGGTTGGCCCGTGTTGGGAGGATGTTTCATATTTGTCTAACCCCCCCCAAAATTTCTAGCTTTTTAGGTAGAAGAGACAATTACTGCCATAGGCTGAAATGCTCTGCTGTCTTGTTAGTGTTTAATAAGGACGTGGGACACCTGATGGGCTGCAGTTAATGCCAGCATGTGTGAGCTTCACTCTTGAATTGTGTGACAAATGCACAGGAGGAAAAACGTTTGTGCAGAACAACCAGAGGTACTTGGTGTGTTGGTTTCCAAAAGTGCTTCTCGGTACTTCTGTCAGAGCACAAATATGTCATACCCACGGCAGGCTGACACGGAGGTATTAGTTCCTTTGCAGTTTTTGCAGTTGGCAAAAGTCAGAAGAGCTGTTTTATATTTTAGTTGGTTGTAGGTTTGTTGACCTATTCTTGTGTCAGCTCTGCCTTTATTTAACTGTCTTTTTCATTGCAGGCTTTTACTTCAGCTTACCCAGTTGCAACAGTCGTCCTTTGCACTAGAGAATAACAGAAAAAGTCAGAAAGAAATCGGTGACAAAGTGGCACGGCTTGGTTTCAAGGAAGAGTCCTTGCTGTTGGTGACCGAGGTGAGGGGATGTTTCACTGTGGGCAAGTTCTTAGCCCTGCACAGGCTCGCCCAGGTACCTGAGGCTGGTCAGGCACAACGTCCCGTAAGCGTGACAATCCCCTGAGCTAATTAACTGTGCCAGGAAGCAAGGTCAATTAGCTGGGACGGGTGGTGTGCTGTCGGGAACTGACAGTGATGCCGATACGACGCTGGCTTGTGTCATGCAGGTGTATCTCGGTTCTGATGAGATTTTCCTTTCAGGAATGTTCAGGGTTGTTAAGTTTCTCGTTGGACTTGTATTTGCAGATGCATCATCACGGCGTGTTTCCTGGGATGCAGGTTTTATCTCAGGAGTTTTAGGTGCCACAAAATTAATCACAAGTATGAAATGGGAGTGGAGATTGCTTTGATGGCCACAGCAGTATTAAACACTTCCAGAAAAAAAAGTATTAAACATTTTCAGAAAAAGACAAGAGATTCTTTTTAATGTTATTTCTTCATTCTATTTGATGTACTGGGTTCTGGTTTTGAAGAAATACAAAGGAGGAGAGAAGAATTGCATGAATTTATTCACAGAGATTAAACTTTTTTAGTGCTATTCATAGAGTTTCTGACTTTTATCTTAAGGAACAGAAGGAAACCAGTGAGATTCTAACGTTGCTGTCAGCGTTACAGTTTTACGGCAGTGAAAGCCAGGCCGTTGCCGGGTTGGCTTGCAGTCCTGTGGGGTTTCATCCATGGGAGGGCAGTGGCGTGCAGACCAGCTCAGGTTTTGAAAAGGCTGCGTAAAAAGAAACTTCCCTGCCTGCTCTCCTTGGTCCCAAACCCGCCGGCAGGAGATCGGAGCGTTGGGGCTGTGGCAGGGCCAGCACTGAATGCAGAGCTGGGTGTTGAGATTCCCGCTGCTACTCTGAGAATAAAAATCCCCCTGAGCAAGCATAGCCAGCAGCCGGGCAGCGTTGTGCAGCTGCCAAGCTGGGGCTCTCGGTTCTCCGTGTTTATTGCTCAGTGCAACAGGCACACGGCTCGACCATGACTTGGGAACTTCTGCTGGATGGCATGTGGCTCGTGTGTTGAGGGCTTTTCTTGTAAACATCTGTTACTAATGTCAGATCTGCAGTTTTCTCTGCAAGTGGTTTTCTTGTTTCTCATCTTCTTTCTTGCTCTGTTCGCAGGCTATGGGGCAGGACATTATACCAGAAAAACTAAAAGAGGAGTTTCAAGGTGAGGTAAAGTGCATAGGCCCTTCAGCGCTGTCGTCACTGGTAACTGCATCAGCCACAGAATTCGAAATGAAATGGTTCGGTAATCTTCAAGATGATTTATGTCACTTTGACAGGCAGTTCTATTCAGATACTTATCTCCCACCTTTGGTAACTTAAAGGTTTTGTTGTATTTATTCTCTTGTCTCCAAATTATTATGGAATGATATATGCAATAAAGTTCATATTACATTTTTTTAGAATTCTTGTTGTACATCTTTTAAGAATATATATAAATCTCTGTATTCAAACTCTTAACATCTCATAATTTTCTTTGCTCCCTGATTTGTTTGTATTTGAAATAATAAGGAATCCAGTATAAAATCAAGCTTCCAGAGTTAGCTTTCCATCGTAAGGTGTACCATGTTGTCCTTGAAATGTATGTGATTTCTTGAGGCCTGTGATGCCAGCGAGATGGAAGGTTCCCTTTATGACGTCCAGTTTGAAAGTTTCTTGGTATCAAATTCTATGGTGGTGCATTTAGAGCCATAGACTTAACCATTTTCTTAATTATTTTTTTAAATATTTCTTGATTAATTGACGTTATAGTGATTTCCCCTTCAGAGATGGATAGCTAGAAAGTTTTAATATGTATATACTGAGAAATTATCAATAAGAATAATTCCATATGTTTTAGGGAAAAAAATCAGAATGGCAAGTGTTTAACTTAGAATGGGAAGGAGATTTTCTTCAAAGCTAAGTGTTTTTTGCAGGCGCAGAACTAGCTGTAGTCTTCAGTATGCTTAGACGAGGAAGGAGGAGGAAAACTGTCAAGGTTGTTTATATGTACTGAAGAGTGTTTAGTCAGCTCATATCCTTTGTAAAATCCTACAAGGAAGAAGATGTTTGCTGTGAAAGCTGGCAGTGTCGTTTCTGCATCGTACAGCTCCTTATGTTATGCTTTCAGCTGATAATGACACCGCTTGGCTTTACCTTCTGAAGCAGCAACGCTCCGTGCTTTGGGCTTCTACAGAAAAAGGCAGAGATTACCCTGCAGTTTCTTTTGCTTGAAATAAATTTACATTTGAGGCAAACAAGGTGTGCTCTTCCCGCATCTTCTCTTAAACCGAGATTTAAATTCTTTGTAACTTTTTGTAAAAGTGTTCTTTAATGGATGTAGTTTGAAACTGGGATTGACGTAATTTGCCGTGACTTTTCTTCATCTTTTCCTGCATTTTCTTTCTGAAGTACTAAGGAGTTCTGAATAAATAAGTCACAATTGAATGGTAATTCGGCATATGTGAACATGCTTTGTATCTGCTACTTCTAGGTGAATTTTGAAGGTTTAAGATACTGGTTAGAGAACCTGTCACTAACCTGTGGTGTGGTATAGCCCTCTGCTAAGTTGGCTGTGAAAGCTCTCCGGAAAAATGGAATATTGCCTTCAGCAGTGTCAAATTATTTTTGATAGTTTGGTGACTTAATGCAATTAAACCACATCCTGGTCAGCGTGTTACAAAAGATGATGACTTGGCAAGTGTACTTGGGTGAGCATTAATGCACTCACAGTGTATGACAGAATATTTGATTTAGTCATGCGTGTGCTTTGCTAGGTGGAATCTTTTGTGTGCATGTGTAGAGCACTGTATTCGTGTGGCAGTGAAGCCTGCCTGAAGGGCTGGGGGTACTTTTGAGACTAAACTGATGTCTTAAGTTTTAAGTAGAGACTGTCCATAACGTGCTGTAAATCACTTACGATGTTGGCATCAACGGTAGAACGTCTTGCAGCAAGAACAGAGCAAACGTGGAAACTTTAGTGCCAAATACATCAGCAAAAAAATGGAAAAGGGCCTTTTCTCAGTTTGTTTTTAATACTTAAGGCCATGAGTAGCGACACAAAAAGGGCAATAGTTGTTTTGCCACTGCTCTTAGGTTCAGTAGCTCTCATGTTGAGTAGTTAGGGCACCAGAGCACAGCTTTTGTGGAATGAGGTCTGTAGGGGTATTTAATGGGAACTTGCCAAATGGTTTGGCTCCACAGTTTAGAAGGTAGAAATAGCATTAGAGCGAATTAAATACTTGCCAAACGTTGTCCTTTTGTGACTGAGATGTCCAGAGCACACGGGGACTAGCCAAGGTGATCTGGGGACTTTTTGATGCGCAGGCAGGTGGTTTGACTTGAGGTTGTCTCTCAGGCTGGGAGCACAACGGTTAACTCCCCACTGGCTCCAGGAGTGGAAGGCAAGTGGCAGTTTTAAGCACAGGCAGTATTCTCTCAAACATAACAATAAAGCAAAAATGTTGTTTTTAACTACCACAAAGAAAACAATGCAAATGTTGTTCGGAACATGTCACGTAGTTACTGTTCCAAATAACCAGCATTTATTGCACTGGGGCTATGAAATATTCCTTTGTCCCACTTGTGCCTGGTTATCTCTCATTTCAGCTACTTCAATTCCTCCTTTTTTAGCCTGCTCCTTGCGCTTTTGGCATGCTGCTTCTAATGCCAGGTTTCTGTCTCTGGTCGTATCTCACGAGGGGCTTTGTGTTTCCATCCTGCATTTGAACGCCTTGTCTTGCTTCTACGTTCAGCATAATTCTACATCTGCCTGTAATAGACTTCTTAATGTTTTCGCTGTTACGATATTGTTATTGGTATTAGTATATGCACAAGTACTACACGCTGAGTTAAACAGAAAATTTCAGTATTGCAAAGTGCAAGTAAGAATCCATTAAGCATTACTGAGTTGAGTTTGTCACTTTAATACTTGCTCGTGTTACCGACACTTTGGGAAGGACCCTCTGTCCCTGGATCTGGTGCTTCTGAAATGATTGCTGTGTACAAACACAATCTAATTGTGTGTTTCAATACTGCTGGCTTTGAGGTGAGGGAACATGTTAGTGCTGTAGCTAGTGACATTAACACTGTTTTATCATCAGAGAATCATAGAATGATTTGGGTTAGAAGGCACCTTTGAAGATCATGTAGTCCAACCCCCCCCGTGCCATGGCAGGGACAGCTTGAACTAGACCAGGTTGGTCATAGCCCCGTCCAACCTGACCTTGAACGCGGCTGATGATGAGGCATCCACCGCTTCTCCTGGCAACCTGTTCCAGTGTCTCACCACCCTCATTGTAAAACAAATTTCTTCCTTATGTCCAATCTAAATCTGCCCTCTTTCCGTTTAAACCATTGCCCCTTGTCCTGTCATTGTGTGGTGGATTGACCTTGCCTGGCCGCTTGGTGCCCACCCAGAGACTCCATCACTCCCCTTCCTCAGCACAACAGCAAAGGAGAAAATAAGATGGGGGAAAAAAAATGCAAGCAAATCCATTTTAGTAATTTGGCACCCTAGGCAGGACTCTCTGAGTTCCTGACCTGTTGGGCATGGTGATGGCATATGACACAGCTGGTACTGGGAGAGTTCACCCAATTGTCCTTGTGGGACCCACATTCTCTGGGAAGGTACTAAAACCAGAGGCAGCAGTAGTCATGGGGGGTTCAGTAAGTAAGATGAAGCAGGGTTTGCCACTGGTGGAAATTCTGGGAAACTGGAAGAAAACTGACAGTACTTCAGGATGCAGTAAAGCTCAAACTGTAGTTCTGTGTCAGAGGACTGGGCAGCTGGGACTTGGGAGAGGAAATCACTGAGCACTGCCCCATGGGATGTTCATTTGACATGGGAAAGCTGACCTTAGAATCACAGAATGTGTTGGGTTGGAAAGGACCTTTAAAGGTCATCTAGTCCAACCCCCCTGCAGTGAGCAGGGACATTTTTAACTAGATCAGGTTACTCAGAGCCCCATCCAGCCTGACCTTGAATGTCTCCAGGGATGGAGCATCCACCACCTCTCTGAGCGACCTGTTCCAGTGTTTCACCACTCGCATTGTAAAGAACTTCTTCCTAACATCTAATCTAAGTCTACCCTGCTCTAGTTTAAAACCATTGCCCCTTGTGTTGTCACAAAATGCCCTTATAAACAGCCCCTCCCCAGCTTTCCCATAGCCCCCTTCAGGTACTGAAAGGCTGCTCTAAGAACTCCCCAGAGACTTACTTCTCTTCTCCAGGCCGAACAGACCCAGCTCTCTCGGCCTGTCCTTGTAGGAGCAATGTTCCAGCCCTTTGGTCATTTTTGTGACCCTTCTCTGGATCCTCTCCAACAGGCCCATGTCCTTCCTATGTTAAGGGCTCCAGAGCTGGACACAGAACTCCAGGTGATGTCTCAGGGGAGCAGAGCAGAGGGCCATCATGTGTGATACAATATCTCACCTTCCTGCATCATAGGTGATATAGTATAAGGCAGAACTGCCTTATACGGTAAATCCCTGCTTACTGCTCCCCATCACCACCTTCTTCACAGGACAAGTTGGAAATTGTTCCCTGGATCTGTTGCTCCATCACCTTCCTGGGAATGGAGGTGCAGCTGGCAGGCCTAGCAAGGGGGGAGCTGAAGGGGAGTGTGGTATGCAATGGCCCAGCGAGGAGGAACGACTGGGTGCTCTTTGTTTTCTAGGAGGAGCAGCGGGGGGCAGACCTATTTTCAGCAACAAAAGCGACCTGTGGAAGAAGTGGTCAGTGAAGTGGTCCCAAGGTGCACAAGCAACAAGCACAGGCAATGTCTTCAAAGACGTGCTCCTCTGGGTGATGTGTGTGTGAGCAGCAACGGGACGTGCGCAGACGTGCGCACAAGCTGTGCTCCATTAGCAGCCGTGCGGGCAGGCATCAGGCTTCACACTCAGAAGTGCTTTAATGAGCAGCACTGGCAGGCCACCAGCAGAGACATCTCGGAGGCAAAAGACCTGCAGGGCCAGTTCAGGCTGGGGCAGGGACACGGGGACGCTCTGTAAAGCCCTGCCCAAGCCCAGCCTATTTGTTCAGCTTAGTCCCAGGGTGTGAGGGCAGGGGCAGCGGTGGGTTCGAGGTGCCCCACAAATGTTCTTTGATGCTGCGTGAGCAATGCCTGTGCGGACAGTCCCTTGGGCAACGTGACTTGTTATCTCACTTCTCTCTGCTCCCCAAGGTGAGGACATGCACAGCAACTGGCCCTGACAGGAGGGTCCCCATGGCTGCCAACGGCAGTGGTGCTCTGACATAGCATGGTTGCCCTCTGGAAAGCCCCAGGGGCCTTTGCTGGGCTCTGCAGGGGCACATGCAAGGCCCTAATTACCTCCTAGAGTGC